TTAACCTTTGGCATTTTAATTATGACGTGTCTTGGAGTGGGCCTCTTTGCATCCATCTTGTTTGGGACTCTGTGCTTCTTGGACTTGCATATCTGTTTCCTTCACCAAATTAGGGAAGTTTTCTTTCATTATTTTTTCAAATAGATTTCCAATTTCTTGCTCTTCCTCTCCTCCTGACACCCCCATTCATGCAAATGTTGGAATGCATGAAGTTGTCCCAGAGGCTGCTTATACCATCCTCATTTTTTTTTGGATTTGTTTTTCTTTTTGTTGTTTTGATTGGTTGTTTTTTGCTTCCTTATGTTCCAAATCATTGATTTGATTCTCGGCTTTATACACTCTCTTGTTGTTTCCCTATAAATCATTCTTTATTTCAATTAGTGTATCCTTCACTTCTGACTGGATCTTTTTTATGCTGTTGAGGTCCTCACTAAGTTCCTTGAGCATCCTTATAACCAGTGGTTTGAACTCTGCATCTGACAGATTGGTTATCTCCCTTTTGTTTAGCTATTTTTCTGGAGTTTTGACCTGTTCTTCCATTTGGGCCATGTTTCTTTGTCTCCTCATTTTGGCAGCCTCCCTGTGTTTGTTTCTATGTATTAGGTAGAGCTGCTTTGACTCTGTGCCATGGTAGTGTGGCCTAAGGTAGTAGGTGTCCTGTAGGGTCCAGTGGCTCAGCCTCCACTATCACCCAAGCTGGGTACTTGAAGTGTGGCCTTTGTGTGGGCTGAGTACACCCTCCTTTTGTAGTTGAGCCTTAGTTGCTGTTGGCAGATCAATGGGAGGGATTTACCCAGGCCAGTCAGCTGTAAGGACTGGCTGTGACTACTGACCACTAACCTGTATAAGAGGATCAGCTGTGCATGGTTAGGGTGGTGGTGCTCTGATGTGGCCTGTAGCTGTCCACTGGCTCTGGGGTTTCCTGAGTGGTGTAGGCCAAGGTCAGCTCCCACCTGTGTTTTGCCTGGGGCCACCCTGCCTGAGCGATAAAACAATCTGAGATGGCTGCTACTTGTGCTGGGCTTGGAAATTTTCAGGTGAAGCCAGGCTGTGAATCTAGGCTAGCTGCTGCTAATGCCGGGTCTGGGGCTCACAGAGTCCAGCTGCTGCTTGTTTGAGGTGATTTAGGACTTTGTGAAGAAGGAGCCAAGACCAGCCATTCATATGGAAAAGTAACTTAGGTGGGCCTGTAAGGTGGGTGGGGCAGAGTCTTTGGGAATCTCCAAGGTGGGTCAAACAGTGTTAGCCAGGTCAATGTAGTGTCAGATATGGCACTAGCTTGCTGGCTCTGTGGATCTATGGGGGGCGGATTTAGAAAAGGGACAATGGCCACTGCACGCCTTGATGCCAGACACTTCAGTTTCTCCCAGTATGCTGCTGGCACATTTCAAGCTGCTACTCTGGTGCTGGAGCTCAGAGGGAGTGAGTCTGAATAGGTGAGTCCATGTGTGGGTTTTTTAAGAGGAACTGCTTGGGGCTCTAGAAGTTTCTTCCAATGACTCAATCCCCACTGGTTTTTGCAGCCAGAAGTTGTGGGGATTTATCTTCCTGGCACTGGAACTGTAGGCTGGGGGAGGGGGCAGTTGGGGGCTGGGGGCGTGCTGGGACTCCTTACTCCCAAGATATCCCTCCCAAATTTTTATCTACCACACATGGGTCAGAGACTAGTCCATTCCACCTCTACGCCCCTCCTACCAGTCTGGATGGATGTGGTGTCTTTAATTCCATAGTTGTCAGACTTCCATTCAACTAATTTTCTGACAGTTCTGGGTGATGGTTGTTCTATGTTTTAGTTGTAGTTTTGATGTGCTTGTGTGAAGGGGCGAGCCATGTCCGCCTACACCACCATCTTTACCACAACAGGTAATACATTTATAAGGTACAGAATCAAAAAGGTATAAAAAGTATTTTCTAAAAAGCTTTTCTTCTTTCCTTGTTCCCTAGTCAGCCCAGTAGCCACCACTGGGACTAGTTTCTGGTGGGTCCTTCCAGAAAAGCTCAGATGCAAGCCAATACGTATAGAGGGAATGCCCTTTTACATCAAATGAAACAAAACAAAATACAGCCTTGGGGTGCACAGAAGATAGGGAACTGACATGTAAGACTGATTTCATCTTGGTTTCGAGCTGAGTGCTGAAAACACTGCCAAGGTCCGTGTGCTGGAGGAGGCGGGGAAACCGCTTCTGGCCTGTCTGCAGATGGGATGTTATTGTTGCTTGTGCGCTGGGTCAGGATAAGGTCATAAGGATCCTCCAGCTCCCTCTGGTCCGGGCACAGTAATGACAGCTTGTCCACCTTGTTTTTATGGGCTCTCCCTCCCCACCCCTCCATGGTCAGGGAATGAAAGGATTGGTATGCTTTCAATCTCTCTAATTCGGCACCAGGTACTTAACAAATCCTTGAAGATAGAGGGCATCACCAATACGCTGTTGGCGGGTGAAGAGGCTGAGAGATCTGGAGTCTGAACGTGCCCAGATGATCTCTCTTTGTGAGGCCTCACTTGGAGTCCCCGGGAGGTGCCTTCTGCCCTCTGTTTGCCTCACACTCTGACTTTCTGAGAATGTCAGAAATGAGGCTCAGCATTTTTATGTTGTTTTATTTGTTTTAAGCTCCAGGGCATGCAGGCCAGAGGCAAGCTTTGGAGATGACAGGGCCAGCAGACCTTTACCGAGGCATCTGAAGTATTTGCCCATCCCTGATGGCAGGGACGCCTTGGAGAGGAGTCTGACCACCACACCATTGTCATCATTCCCGACCTTAAAATGGGGAAGCTGAGGTCTGGGAGGCACCCTCGCAGTGTGTTCACATGGTCATATGCTTTTGTAAAATCTGCCAAATCGAGGCATTTTAACCTCATTCTGCTAAAACCAACGTCTCCTTTCACTCTTACTTCCCCTTGTGGCAGATGACATCGGAGGAGTGTTTGCATTTTGGGGATCTGGCTAAGAGGACCTCGACATTTTGTTTGGGTTTAGTGGTTTCATCTATGTTGTTTCCCATCACTTTTGGGAATAAATTGTTACCAACTGAGTTGGTATAGGAGCTGCTCCAAGGACTACCCCCACCCAGCATGCTGAGCTGACTCAGGTGGGCCTGTGACATGAAAGCCCAAGTCAGAGAGTTTATCTCCATACATGTGAGTGGTCTTCCTTGTCTGTGGAAAGTATTATGGAGGTAATCCATAAAAGTGATGCTATTTTTGTGGGTTTTGTAATGTTTGTAGAACTTATCATTTGTTGTGGTTTCTTTTATCTTTCTAACCAAATGATCACTTTATTACCTAATTTTACATTTGTAATTTTGTAGCTCTTTTATTAAACAAGTCTCCCTAAATTGTATTTGTCTCAGAAAGTACAAAGCTGGGATCTGTCCCTGCTGGGTTTTCTCTGTCGTTTAGGATTCCGAGCCCCTGCTCGCCTTTCCTCACGGCTCCTGCCAAATGGGTCTTGCAAACGCACATGGGGATATAACAAAGCAGCTGAGAGGGCTTCTGCTGGATGCAGACAAACCTCTGTTTTTCTCGTGTATAAAACAGAAAGAATAGAGTCTGTCTCCTTAGACGGAAATAACACCAAATGAGAAAATGTGAGTAAAGCACAATCCTGAGGAGGAGGGTGAAGTGCGTGCCAGGTCTGACATTTAGCTGGTCCTCACATGTATAGCCAGATCCCTGTTTCCGACAGGATCTGTTCTGATTGGGTAGGTGCCTGTGCTATGACGCCCAATCATTGTTAGCTACTGGCATAGACCTATTCATTTATTTTAAATGGACTTTATTGGGGTGACATTGGTTTGTAAAATTATATAGCTTTCAAATACAATTCTATATTACATCGTCAGTATATCTTTTTTCTTTTTTTTTTCTCAATCCCTCCACCCCTGCTCCAGTCCCTGCTCATCGGTATATTATTATTTCCCTCCCTTATCTACCCAAGGTTTGCACATGGTAAGTGCTCAGTCATTGGCAATCCAATCCAAGAACTTGAAAGACACTGGCTGGAATAGAAAACAGGCTGGTTCTAAATTGAGCAATGCCCTAGACTCAGTGACTCACAGCTATGAAATTTCCTCATCTCCAAGAGCCTTTGAGTTAACTTATTCTAATCCTCTTAAAAATGATTTTTCCTTAACATGCTTGGAAATGTTGGAAATTTGAAAAATCCATAAAAGCACAAGGAAAAAATTAGCTACTGTTATTATAAATGATTATGTGTCTATACCTGTGATGCTATGATTATGTATTTAATACATATTTATGTTGTGCAGAGTGCTTTGAAACATCCTTTTTAAAAACTAACTTTCTTAGCATTTCCCCCACATTTTAAATATCTTTTAACTACATCATTTTTAATTACTGCATAATATTCCTCATCACTCAGTGGGGATAATTAAAGGTACCCATCTAAAAGGTTATGCCATGAGCATTGGTGAGAGTCATGCCATGTAAAGCTATCAGGCATGTAAAAACTCAATAAACGCAGCTTTTCCACAGAGCAGATTTGTATAACCAATCCCCTGTGGTTGAGCACTGAGGTTGAGGTTATTTCCATTATTTTGCTATGATAAATAATGCTGGGCTATATTATTAATCTTTGCTCCTATCTTTGCTCATTTCCTCAGTAAATTTCAAGACTGCTGGGTTTGCACATGTTAAAATGAACTCACTCATTTGTTGTGCTGTTAGGAGAACAGAGAAAGGAACTTGCCCGAGCTCAAACAGCAAGTTAGCTGCAAAGTCGGGACTAGGAACCAGCCCCTGGACCCTAAATAGTGCCTCATCCAACTGGAGGCCCACAATGAGCAACTTGGGATTCGTGATAAGGCAGCCAGCGTGAAGGGGCGGGTTGGGTTTCTGAGCCTTGGCGCTCACCCTCGGAACCAAAGTTAAACGGTCGCCTGGCAACTAGGGCGGCGCGGTGTTCGAACGGAAGCAAAGAACCAATCAGGATGTCCGGGGCAAACCATTTCCGTGATGGGGGTAGTGGTGGGGGAAAGGCATGCTCACTTCCTTTTCCTCTGCGCACCGGGACTTGCCTTGCGGTGGGCACACTCTGGTCCTGCGGCTCAACTTGGGTGCGGAGGACAGCTCCGAAGAGGTCCCTGTGGGTCCTCAGGAACAGTTGCCCCCCCCCACCCCCATTGACGTTCGGCGTGGCCATTCCAGACCCGCGTTGGAGCTGTCAGCCTCACCTCGGCCCGAACTTCAAGTCCCGGGACTCACCTAGGGTGGGCTCCAGGTGAGGGCGCAGGTGGTCTGGGGCGCGAGCTCGGGTATGGGGGGCTCCATTCAACAAGAGCCTACGGTTTGTGTCTTCCCCGCGTCATAACTGTCGGGAGGCGGTGATACCCCATTTCACAGATGAGAATGCTGAAGCTCAGAGAGGCAAGTGTCATAACCCGGCGAGGTCTAGCACAGAATCCAGTTAAGGTCTTTCTGCCCCTAGCCGTCTCTAGCCTGGCTGCATCTAGATTTGCCTTGAGAGGGGCAACTGGTGGTCACTTTTCCAGCCTCTGAGCAGCAGGGACATGGCCCGTGGAGTTCTGGCAGATCCCTCCTGCCCCTTCCCACATCATCTCTGTGTGCCTCTTCTGGGCACCTGTCTTCTCCAGCACGCTAGGAGTTGGACTTGGTCCTTTCGCCCCCGGGCTCTGAATTACAGTGCTGTTCCTCTAAGCAGGCCGCTCTAGGGGTATCGGGTGGAACTGTCATTTCTGGGCTAGATGCTGGGTGGGCAACATGTGCTCAGACCCTGGAGTCACTGTTGGGCTCTTGGGAATCGGGCCGGGATTGGGGGAAAGGATAGAGGCTGTCCCTCAACGGAAGCCACTAGTCACTAGAGCTTCCAGAGACTTTAGAGTTGGGAGTCACTAGAGCTTCCAGAGACTTTAGAGCCAGGACTCTTCCTGGTGAACTAGCTTCTGACCTAGACTATGTTTTGCCTCTTGGCAAACCACAGCCTCCCCGCCCCTGCCTCCCGCCCTCAGGTTGCTATTGTTGGTTCCTTTTTGCAGTTGGAGAAATGGAGGTTCTAACAAGATAAGCCCCTTGCCCAAAGTCACACAGTCACACTCTGCACCGCTGGGGTTGGCTCCCAGTCTTTCTGCCTTCAGTCTTAGAATCCTAGACACTCAGAATCGAGGCATCTGAGAGTCTTAAATTTCTCCAAGGGGAGTTATCTTCCCTCCTCCCAGCTCTCCTCCTGGCTCTGGGGAGAGGAGCTCTGGGAACTCAGAAGAAAACAAGTCTTTCATTCATGCTTTCAACAAATATTTATTGACTTCATGTGCCCTGCCCCCCGCCTTGTCTATTTTTTTTTTCAGTAGTGTTTGCCCCATCTGATGTCCTGTATGTTTCACTTTTTAGTGAGTTTATTATCTTCCTCATCTGGAATGTGATGAGAGGACGGGGTTAGGAGGGGGTGAGTGAGGTACTCGCCTCCAGTGCACAATTGAGGGGTGTCCAAAACCTCTGCGACCCAAGTAATTAAAGCCGACATTTCTGGACCATTTGTGGTGTGTTCTGCTGGCGAAGATAGCTCATATGGCCTCTGCGGAGCACAGTCGCTCCACGTCTGTCACAATTACAAGTTCACCCCTCAATCCAGCGCCCCCACTGCCAGGCAAGGCGAGGTAGGTGCAGTTTTGCTGCACGGGGGTGTGTAACAGGGAGGGACTGGACACAGTTAAGTGGTGTCAGTAGGGGCTGATGGGCTCTATATGCACTGAGGTGACACAACATATGTTAGTCAACAACGTAAATTATTAAGCACATTAACAACATTATAATTAATAATATATCAATAACATATATAATTAAGAACAACATACAATATGGAATAAAAAAAACAAGGTGAAAACAGTACACACAGTGTGTTGCCCTTAACGTAAAAAAAAAAAGAAAGACTGTATGCCCGTTACTGTTTGTATCTGCCTCAAATTTCCCAGGAAGGACACCACTGTCTGGTTATACTTGGGTGGCTGGGGACAGGAGTGGGAGGGAGTTTATTTTTACTACATTCCCTTTTAGAACTCTTGAATTGAGCCTTGTGCATATATGACCTGGTTGAAAAGTTACATGTCTATATGTTAGATTATATATTTAATCAAAAGACCAGTAGCCTGTACATGATCTGTCACTGGCTTGTGGTGTGACTTCGGGCAAATTTCTTCACATCTCTGATCCAAGATAAGAAGCCATGATGGATGAACTTGGGCCTGGGCAGAGGGCAATTCAGGACAGAATGTGGGCTTGGCTGTGGGTCTGCTGTGATCCCCACCTTCCCCAGCCTGTGTGCCAGGCCCTTCCCTAAGGCTTTTTGCTTGTGGCATCTCTCATGTTGTCTCCACCGCAAAGCCCCTTTGTCCCCATTTTGCAACCTCAGATGCACGTGGAGGCACAGAGAATTGAGGTGGTGGAGGTGAGCCTTCAGCGGCCACATAGAAGGTCCCTGCCTTAGGGGACTGCCCCCATATCTTGCTCAAGGCCTGCTCACCTCCGCCTTCCTAAGGTTTGTGCAAGGCTGACGCCAGGCAGGCCAGGGCACGAGCGTCTAGGGAGACTGCAGAAATAGCGCGAGGCCTGGTGTGGCCCTGGGGGATGCCCAGCTCTCTGGGTATTTCTGACCCTGACAGCTGGGCTGAAATTGAGCTGGAGCTCTGCTCCTGTCCAGCCCCCTCCCTGCTTGGAGCCTTCCTGATCCTCCTCTGGGGCAAGTGAGGGCCTCTCTGCCTCCACCCAAGTCTGGGTTGGGCTTCTACGGAAGAGAAGGAGATAAGCAGGTGGAAGGAAAGGATGGAGGTGGGGTTCCAGAATGTCATGGGAATTGTAAACATCACAAATCTTACTTCCTGCCCCTTCAGCCAAGAATGAAAATCACTAACACCTCCTGAGCGCTCACCGTGTGCTAAGTACTTTAAAAATATGAACTCATTTGATTTCCTCAATACTACGGTGTAAGAGAGTTCCCACTGTTATTACTCCCACCTCACAAAGTGAAACAGCACAAGAGGGGCTTGGTGACTTGCACAGGTCACCTGGAGCTGGAATTCAAATCGGCGAAGCCTGGCTCCAGACTCCGCACTCTCTTTTCCTTCTTGTAAAATATTTTAAGATAAAATCGACCATGTTAACCATTTTTAAGTGCACAGTTCAGTGGCATTAAGCACCTTCACATCGTTGTGCAACTATCACCGCCGTCCGTCTCCAGAACTGTTTCATCTTCCCAAATGGAAATTGTATGCTCGCTGAATACTAGCTCCTCCTTCTCCTCCCTTCTCGCCCCTGGCAACCACCATCCTACCGTGTGTCTTTATGAATTTGACTACTCTAAGTGCTCATATGATTGGAATCACATGATATTTGTCTCTTTGTGCCTGCTTATTGCACCTGGCATAATGTCTTTAAGGTTCATGTATGTTATAGCCTGTGTCAGGATTTCCTTCCTTTTTAAGGCTGAATAATGTTCCATTGCATGTGTATATAACATTTTGTTTAATCCAGTAATAGTCCCTTGGTTGCTTCCACCTGGTGGCTGTTGTGCCGATGCTACCCCAAACACGGGCGTGTGTGTATCGGTTCCATTCTCTGCTTTCAGTTCTTTTGCGTGTGCCCCGAGAAGTAGAATGGTTGGATCCTTTGGTAATTCCACTTAAAAATTTTGCCTAGCTGCCACACCTTCCACAGTGGCTGCATCATTTATGTTCCCTACAGTGCACAAGGGTTCTCATTTCTCCACATCCTCACCAGTTATTTATTTTGTGGGGGGAGGGTTATTTGTTTTTTTGTTGTTGTTATTTTTGTTTTTGGATAATAGCCATCTGAATGAATGTGACATGGTTTCTCATTGTGGTTTTGATTTACATTTTCCTAATGATTAGTGATGTCCAGCATCTTTTCATGGGCTTATTGTCTGTTTGTATACCTTCATTGGAGAAATGTCTATTCACGTGACTGCGGCCTTAGATTTACAACCTCTGACAGAACTGGGTTAACATTCTGAGCTGACGAAAGCCTCAAGCGGGAGCTGGGCACTGGAGCATCTGGTTGGTTTAATAGTTACCACAGCTCACACTTTGGTGGCATTTGTCATGCACAGGCCTCATGCTGGGAGGGAGACACTGTTAAGAGTGCTGTTTTACATTTGAGGACACCGAGGCATGGGGAAGTTGCATAGCTGATCACCGGTGGAGCTGGGATTTGAACCCAGGCAGGCTGGTCCCAGAGTCCGTGCTACAGAGGTGGCTAGGGAGATGGAGTGGAAAAGGGCACTGCAGGCAGCAGACCCAGCGTGTGCAGAGGTTTGGACGTGGTGTCTGGAGAACAGAGCAGGGCTCAGCTAGAAGTGGCCAGACCCCACCTCGGATGGGGGTTACGTGAGGCCGGAGGAGGACTGGGGCAGGTGGGGGAAGGCCTGGGGCAGGGGCAGGGGTTGGGAGGAGGCTTGATGCTGAGCAGCCTTGGCCTTTGAGGTAGACTGGTTCCAGTCTTGCCACTTGGTCAGTGGTGTTTCCTCCGGTGTTTGGTCCATGGAGGAAGACAGTACAGAAGAGTGTGATGGAGCTCCCGGCCCAGTGCAGGAAATGGGACACAGATAAGTGACAGTTAAACGAGCGTCTAAACTAACCAGGTGCAGTGAATGCTTGGGAGGGAAAAGACCAGGTGAGAGAGTCTGTGGGAGCCTCAGAGTGGTCAGGAAGTTCTCTCTGAGGAGGGGACATTCGAATGGGACCTTGAGGAGATGAGGGAAGAGGTTCCAGGCAGGGAGTAGGTGGAACAAAGGCCCGGAGGCAGGAAAGACCGCGGTGAGTTCTGGAACAGCTGGGAGGGCCGTAGGACTGGAGCAGAAAGGGCTGGCTGTGAGGTGGGGAAGGAGGGCGAGGACTGGATCTGGGAGGGCTGAGGGCTGAGTGGATAGTCTGGATTTTCTTCTGAGGTGATGGGGAGCCACAGGGAGGTTTAAGCAGAGCAGTGATGAGATCTGATTTCTGTTGGGAAAACATTTCTATTATTGCTCCTATTTGTTAGCTAAGGAAACTGAGACCCAGAACCATAGCCTAAGACAGCTTCTCTTTCTGGGTTCCCTTGATAAGTGGCCAAAGCCCAATACTGGAGACCTGTTATCTCTCTTTCCCCCGAAGACCCACACGTGGGTTCAAATCCTGGCTCTGCCATTTATCAGCTTTGTGATTTCTGGCAAGTGGCCCCACCTCTCTGTCTGTGCCTCAGTTTTCTCAACTG